TTCGGAACTAGAACGGTGTAAGTGAGAGAATGCTGCTTTTTCTCGGACGATGTGTTGGGGTCCAAATCACACAGCCAGTGGTATTGACGCCCAGGACACCCTCTTCTTCCGAATGACCCAGAACCATTGATGGACCTTTAGACTTTAGGGCATGCACTCCTTCATGCACAGTTGATCATACAAAGTAGAAGTGAGACACACGACGACGACGACGACGAACCATAAAAACGGCGCAACGCAGAGAGAAAGACGACATGCCGCCTATCCCTCACATACGCATTCTCTTCATGACAGGAAACCTCAAGGGCAATTCTACTTGGACGGGTGGAAGAACCGGGTTATTCTCGACATCGATCGATGTCTAAAGGCCCCATAAGCACCGAGTACATAAGCCGTTCTCCGGCCTGTAAGGTAATGTAACATATACTACTGGTATGCATCGCCGTCTGTACACAAGCAGTCCACCCGACCATCATCAACCAGACAACGGGCAGCAGGGCGAATAATTCCCGTGCAAAACCTCCACGAACTTGATGACGCCCTGGTGTTGCCGCCCTTGGACTCTTTCTTCCACTTTCTTTCGTCCCTTCGGGGAACAACTAGAATGAACCTCCAGGGATCTAGGGCCAACAGCTGCCCTGTCTGTATCCACCACCACCTCATGGCTTATGGAGACTTTGATGAGATCCGCTCGCTCTCTCTTCCTTCCCCAACTGGGGAACCCTTTCGGATTCGGGCAGCTATTTCCCAAATTGCCATACGACTTTGCGAGTGATGTTTCGTAAGAAACATACCTAGTACAGAGTGAATGGTAAATACAACTTACATAACGCAATGTATAAATTACGACCCAGGTTAGGTTCGGTCGGAGCTCCCGTTGACCCAACTTCCACTAGACTAGACTCGTGTCGTGAGAGATCAGATCAATCAGTCTGTTGTTCGACAGATTGTTCTTTCTTGATTTCAAGACATTAAGCTTTGCTAGCCCCCATGAGACTGAGACAATTTGCGTCATTCTCTAGGGCTACCTATCCATGAGGATCGTGTTCTTTGCGGTGTGAGTCCAGTCGGGATATGTTATCACATACCCTTCACTCAGATCTCGTAAGCAGCGAGCGACAGAGAAGAAGAAGAAGCAAAAATGGGAGTTCAGGTGAACCGCACCTTTGCCCATTCTTCGTTTTCTTCCAGTCTTCTTACACTATAGACACCACTTGTCGGTAGAGGCTGGGCTCACCCAAAATCCGATGTTTTTGGTCAAAAGACTAATGTCACCTCGTGAGTTCCAATTATGAACAGATCCTTACAAATGTGGCTAGATTCGTATTTCAGACTTTTTTTTCTACAGACTATACTACTGCTCCATATGTCGTCTCCTGAACATAAATACTACCTACATTTGAAGTTGAACGTACAGTGAAGACTGAAGCTTATGAATCTGAAAGAGTTGTGAAATCTTTGGATTGCCGAGCCCCGTAGACGGATGGACGACGGGGGCTTGAGAACCTTAACCCCTTGGTGTCTTTCACATACACGTCACTCCGAACACAAAGTGATCTCCTGTAGGGTTACAGAGGTCCAGTTCATGATAATGGCATTTGTGAGCGATGTTCGGAACTTCTTTCACGTGAATCAGCCCGGCCTTTGGGTTTAAGTAGTCCAGAAAGCAAGTAATGGCATGTCACATCTCTTCGGTTGGCATGGCACCCACGCCCATGGTTATGGCAGCTACCACCAAGTTAAGGCATCTTCCGTCGTCGGGAGGACTCTTGATGCAAGTGAATTTTCCACTATCATACCTATCGCCACTTCCATCATGAGTGATTGCGGGTGCTTAAAGCTCGAGGGAGACTCATGGATTAAAGTTGTCCATGAGCTTTGGGCATTATCAGTTGCGAGAATTCACTACAATAATGCCTGGAAGTCATTCGACTGGGAAGCAGTGGTGAATTGAGTAATGGTGAAGCGAGAAATCACTGCGTTGAAATACATATAGGTGGCAATTCCAAATGATGAAATGATATGATATTCACCTAATTACGAGGAAAAGGCATGTATACTGAAAGTCAACAGTGTGCAAGCCTGCGTGGTTTCTTTGATATACGAAGACAACTCGTTCTTTATGGTATGCCCCTGGAAACTATCTTCTTGCAAATTTCTTAACAGCATGCAGCTTCTGGACACTTTCAGATCATGAAGCATACTGGGCACTTGATGATGATATGATCAGCTTTGAGCGTCTACACTCCATGCATTCAACATTTCATCCCAATTCAAGTCTTTTACCGTGACTGTAACACCCCCTGTTGAGAAGTAAGCGCTTGATTTGTTCCTTCCTAAAAGTAGCACCAGCTTCCACTTGTTGACCATCATCAACAAGGGCAAGAGCGTTCTTAACTTTATCTAGGTAGAGCTCGCAGAAGCACTTTGTATCCAAGAGGGAAAGAGCAGACGAGTTTCCCAAATGCGGTAGCGAGATCTTACCGCACCTTTCTGTACCAAACGCCTCTCTACGCCATAACAGACGCACACCTCTCGCTGGATCATTGCCGAAACAGCAACCTGTACCCGACCTCTGTGAAGCTTCCATCCAGGAATACAATCAGCATCAGCTTAGGTCTGAGCAATAGGACTCTGTTTATTCACGCGTTGTTATCTCAACCGTAATGCCATCTATACGCATGTGATGCTGCCCATCACTGAACAGAACTGAGCAATTGACTGCCTTGGGGGCAACAAAGGGGCCCAAAGGAAAAGAACGACATTCAACACATGCAATGATTTCCTCAACCCAAGCAATGAAGAAAATAATCTCTCGCTTGTGATTTGAGAACACCCATCAGACATTCCCTGCATAGTTCTTACGTACGATGGGGGGGGGGTAGCACAGTAGACCCAAGCGAGGATCCAAACTTGTTCCCGTTTTCTCCCTCAACTAAGGCTCCGTGAAGATATTTACCTACGACCCAAGCTACACCTGAGAACCTAAGGTTAGGCGAGTCAGGCCTACAACAGTATCTTGTCGGTAGGAAGTAAATCCTGGGGAGTTAGCCTTTCTCTTCGAACCCAGCCTGCTCTCGTGAAAATGCATCGAAAGCAGTAAACAACAATTTTGAGCGAGGTATGTATCACACATGCCACCAAACACCAGACTGACCACCGACCGAGTTTCACGCAACACCAAATTCAGGGTCAAGTGTGATTTGACGATCCCAATGGAAAGGACACAAAAAGCGTTTCCATGCATGTAACTATCCGCGGACGTAACAGTTGTGAGCAGGCAGACGCCAGCTGAAGTGGAATACAGAAGTAAGGCCCCTCAGTCAGTCACTACTGGCTGGGCTTCGTGCCTTCACGGTAGTTATAGGTACATCCTTCTTCTTTCGGGAATCCAAATGGCCATTCGCTACCATGCCATACCATAATTACCTCGCGTGACTGCTGGAGACCCTCCTATTCTTAATTCTTTTATGCCCTCTCCCAAACTCTCTGAGCCGGGAAGTGGTAAGGCAATTTCCAGAGACAGTTGCCAAGAAACATCATGTGGTCGGAATAGTAAGCTATGCAGTAGTATCAGTTCATACTCATGCAATGTCTAGACTTATATCACAGGTCAAGTAAGTATGTTGGAGGAAGTCTGTACCTACGTCGGAAGAACGTTGATACCTTAGGTAACTTACGAACCCAACCCATCATCATGACGATTTGATCAAGAACAGGGTGAGAACAAGCTCATCTGATGCAACATGAAGCCATTCCTCTATTATCCTCACAGTTCAGATGAACAGGGGAACAAAGGCTCCCTTGCCTTCACTCACTGCTACTCCTCCTCTTCTTCTTCCTCCAAATAAGTGTAGCCAGTCGAGTCTGCAAGATATGATGTTTCCACGCAATTCCGCGCAGGATACTCCACTAACTCTGAACCTCAATGTTGTGGAACAGTCGTACAATTCTGTCATGTGGCATTACACAGCATTCGTTCCATCTCCTTAGTACGGTACCTAACCTGGTCTGGTTCGTCTGGCTACCTACCTTACCTACCTACCTACCTGCGCCTCTTCCCCTCCCTCCCCTTGACCCTCACTCAACCAAGCATCGCTTCTACCGCTGTCGCTGTCGTAACCTCCGCAAAGCTGTGCCTACCCGCCCCTGCCCCTGCTGCTACATTTCATGCAACATGCATAACATATTTGCATTGCATAAGCAAGGTAAGTATCCTCCTACGTAGTGGACAAAATACTTCCCGTCTACCTTACTTACCTACGGTACCTTACCTGGTATTTACCCATCTGCCGGTTCGGAACCGGTCAATAGGATATATACCTACACATTCCAAACGGACATCTACCTACACACATCTTTCTTTATTGGTCCCGATCGAAGGAACCACCGCAGCCAGCTTGTCTCGGATAGTTACCGAGAAACGGTTGTAAATAATAGGACGTCGCGCTTCAGGAGCAGCACTGCAGGCAGCACTATACCTGCGACGAAAGTGATACCGGAGAATTGGGCGAGGTGAGGACGGGGACAGGATTGAAGATGCACACATATATAATCATTTAACGGATAGTAGCAACAACTCCCTGATATTTTGACTGCGGTGACAAGATGACGAGGAGAGGAAGATCAAGTTGCTATTTAGCCTTGATAAATATCAAATGCATTGATATAACTAAAACTCGCTACATAATGCTTTGCTGTTGTCCACAAGAAGTATGTGGACATAGGAATACCGGCCGGCTGAACCAATGACAGTATGAGAAACCCAACCAAAGTGCATAACACCATTATTCGTTTCAGAGTGGAAAGGGAGGGAATAACAGAAGGAGTGGAGTGGTAATACTGATTATCGTCGGTGACATTCGTGCACCAACACGCATCAATGGCAAGCCGCTGATACCAACCACAGCACCTGCTATGCAACGAAACTAAACACTCATAACTCCGTGAATACAACGCATGCAGATGGTGAGGTAGTAGACTACCTTGAGGTAGCCAATTCAGAGACGACTTTCGACGCTCGGGTAATCGTGTTCGCTGGGCCACTGGCCGTCTGGCCAAACGTAACGAATGGCTTCCCAGATATGACTAATAATAGTAGGAGGCCTCGTTAGTAAATCAGGGTCCCGACGCCAGCATTTGAGAATGGTCATGTGGAGGGAGAGGTCTCAGATATCAGACACCAAAGAACTTACCTGACATGGATGATTTCCAGTCCATCCTTGACTTCCTGGGGCAAGTCCTTTACGTCCTTGCGGTTCTGGGCCGGGAGTAGGACCGTCTTGACACCTGCCCGGAGCGCTCCGATGAGTTTCTCCTTGATGCCTCCGACGGCCGTGATCCGTCCTCGGAGGGAAATCTCACCCTGTGACACAGAAACAAACGTCGTGTTAGCCTTGCACAGATAACATGGAAGCACAGTATTTCGTCCTTCTATCCATATCGGGAAACCCAAACGGACGTAAGATCCGCTTTGCCTTGCCCTTCCTCGTCGTGTTGTGCTTCGAGTCCCAGGGAAGAGGAACCCAAAACAAAGGGGATTGGACTACAAAGGGGGTGAGGGAGCCGAAGAGATGGGCTTGGGAAATGCTTACCGTCATCGCCATGGTTGATGGGACAGCCTTGCCAGAAAACAAGGAAATGAGCGCAATTGCCTGCGAGATGCCGCTACTGGGCCCATCTTTGGGAACGGCACCGGAGGGACAATGCACATGAATGCTCCTGTCCTTCATGATATTCTCGTTCGGGCTTTGAGTGAGTCCAAGCTCATATGCGTGTGCCTTGACCCAAGTCAGGGCCACCTCCACGGATTCTTTCAGCACATCACCCAGTTTGCCCGTCAGCTGGACGCTGCCGTTGCCCGGCATGTCGGCCACCTCGATGAAGAGGATACTACCATTTCCACCCGAGCTGTACGCAACCAGACCAGTCACTATTCCTGGCCGGCTAGTCTTCTCCGCGATCTCCTCTTCGAATTTCTCAATGCCCAAAAACTTCTCCAGGTCGTCTACGGTCAGTTGGGGGTTGTAGTTTTCTGGATGTCCTGAGTCCTTGGCGTCGGCGAACTCAACGGCTTTGCCACGCGCAACGGACGAGATCTCCCGTTCCAGGTTGCGCACACCGGCCTCCCGAGTGTACGACTCGATGATCTTGGATACGACTTCTGGGGTGAAGGAAACTTGTGATTCGTCAAGGCCGTTGACCCGGAGTTGTTTGGGGACCAAGTGCTGCATCGCAATGTGGCGCTTTTCGAGAGTCGTGTAGCCTGGAATGTAAATTGTCTCCATACGATCCAATAACGGTGCCGGGATGGTGTCGAGACTGTTCGCCGTGGCAATGAACAACACCTTGCTGAGATCAATAGGAATGTTAACGTAGTGATCGGTGAAGTTATGGTTCTGCTCAGGGTCGAGGACTTCGAGCATAGCCGCTGAAGGGTCGCCGTGGATACTGGAGCCGCCGACCTTGTCAATCTCATCAAGGAGGAAGACAGGATTTGCTACGCCTACTTTCTTCAAGCCCTGGACAACGAGGCCAGGCATGGCGGCGACATAGGTACGTCTATGTCCGCGAATTTCTGCTTCGTCTCTCACACCACCGAGAGAAATTCTGTGGAATTTCCTTCCTAGGGCAGTGGCGACAGATCGAGCAAGACTCGTCTTTCCAACACCTGGAGGTCCGACCAAGAGGAGAATGGGAGACTTGTCCACCATGCGCCTGTTCTTCAAAGCCTCGAGCTTCGCACCACCGGCCTTGACCTTTTCATCCACAGTGAGGTCGACAGCAGCAGGTTGAGCGGCGTCTTCTTTACCGTTTTCGGATCCCACGCCGAGCTCCTGTTCAATCTGTTTGATCTGGATATCCACGTCATCATTGATGGCTTGCTTGAGGCGAAGGACTGCTAGATACTCAAGCAGGCGCTTCTTGACCTTGTCTAATCCATAGTGATCATCGTCAAGTTGCTTCCTTGCCCGGTTAAGGGTATCGGGACCTAAGCGATCATCCGTAGTAGCCGTCCAAGGGATCTCTGCCAAAGTTTCAAGATATGTCCGAGTCACGGCATACTCGGCCTGTGCTGGATGAATCTTCTTCAGTCTCTTGATCTCCCGATCAGCAATCTTGGCCGCTTCAGGGCTTAGTCGTGCGGCATCGAGGCGTTTCTGCAGCTCTTCGATCTCGTTAGGCTCCTGCTCGTCGTCCGGATTTCCACCTCGTCCCATGAAACCGCCCTGCGGTGGAAACGGCATGCCTACGCCTTGTCCTGGGGCCTTTACAGGCGGCTTGACTTTTCCCGGCTTTGTCGAATCAGGGTCCATGGGGAATGGCAGACTCGTGGCTGTGATGGTGGTGATCTTCATGCTGTTCTTAATGTTTGTTACCTGGCGGTCAAGGAGCTCAATCACCTTGGCCACACGTTCCTTAACGTCGATCAAAGTCAGAATCTGGAGCTTTTCCTCATACGTGGATTCGACAATGTTGGCCATGAAGTCTGCGAGAGCACCGGGATACTTCTGCTTCGCAATGTAGAAGTCGAGACGCCGGGCAAGCAGAGGGGACAGGCCAGGAGTGCCGGAAGACTGTGGTAGAAGTGATGACAGCCGGAGGATTGTGACAAACTGCCTGGACAGGAGCTTGAGGGACATGAAGAGCTCCTCAAGAGCGGAGTCTGTGATCAGAGCGGGATCGGCGTAACTGGAGACCTTGCCTTCCAGGTAAGCCTTGTCCGCGATAACCTTTTCGACATGAATTCGTGTCACGCCCTCGACCAGCAAAGTGAATTCGCCGGTACCACGCCCTTCCACGCCAGTGATCTTGGCAGCAACGCCATATGGGAAGAGGTCGGCCTTGGTAGCCTTTGCCGGATCAACATCGCCCGAGGTTTCGTTCTTGTTGTCGCCATTCTCAATCAGAAGATTGCCCTCCGGTCCGAGCAAGGGGGATTGCCAGGGGTACGCAGGCAATGGGAATTGTATCGATGCGCCATTGGGGGTTTGGAAGCCGCCTTCGCGTAAACGGCGGCGAGCAACGAGGCGATGTCGGGCCTGGTGGACGAAACTGCAATGCGCTGGACAACGCCTGGTAGGAGGATGGTCCCTTTGGGCAGGGGCAGAAGCGGTATCGTGACCGTCGGAGCTCGCACGGGAGCCATGGGGACGTCGGTCTATAGTGGAGTTTGGTCTTGATGTCGAGAAATCCGGGGAATCTGGGGAAACCAGGATCGGTCTTGTGTAACGGAGGTAGAGTCGGTATGTATGATTATTGATTTGCTTGTTCGAGATACGGGATCCCGATACTCTTAGAAGTTTATGTTATCGTTGTCGTGGATTTGTGAGAGAAAAAACCGAAGAACTCCAACGTATGTATGTGTTGCAAGACAAAATGCGACAAACGGGTTGATGGGTAGTACAAGTGGAATGGAGGGAGTTGTTGGTTAACAAAGGTGCCGTTCTCGGCTCAGCGGAAGGGGATATTACATAAAGGTAGAAAGGTAGGTAATGTGATGCGCGTTGGTTGACGTAGACTTCAACTGCAATCTGCGTGTATGATTTGATACGATGTTGGAAAGTTCGATTCACGATTGCGCCACGGGATGAAATCGATGATGCCTGGGATGAAACGGCGGAGGGGGTTGACGGGTTGTTTAAAGTGCAAGCAGCTGAATGGAAGTCACCTCCGCATTATATGGGGCGAATTGTGCAGATGCGGGCGGCTGGCGGTCAATAGTGGAGCTGCTGGTCAAGGTCACCCGTGGAACGGTATCGGCGAACCTTGCTCAACCGAGGCAGAAGACGCGCTGGAAGGCTTGCCTCTGTCAAGTCACTCTTTCTCGCGTTGAAAATCCAAGTTCCAGGCTTCTAGTTCCAGCGCATCTCGGGCTGAGAATCCACTGGAAACTGTTCGGCCCCGCCAGTCCAGCGAAGTCAGGTACAACCCGACGTCACGCAATGCCGATGACACCGCCGTGGTCCCGTCCAAATATCTTGCTTGACCTAGCATTCACATGAATATCGGTTACATGGCTTCTCTGGTACAACGTTCTAGAATCTCACTGGCTCTCTTTATCGGTTCGAAGCCATCAAAGTCCGAGTGCGATGTGCTCACACAACACACGACGCCTACTACATAGCCCACTGAAACTCAGTCTTTATGGGATATCCTTACTCATGCAGTGCTTTAAGATCATAATGAGGCTAATGATGACTGAGAATGCTTAAAAGTGGGAGGGTGCGTCAGTGTTTTCTGTTTTTCTTGCATATTTTACACCAAATCGTTTTGACGCATTTATACCTCTTTTATGTGGTATCGGGTTAGGGTTATACGAGTAGTGACATTTATTAACAACTCTTTCGAGTAAAAGAGACTACCAAGACCACTCAGTTCAACATGGTCGAAGTTCAGAAATGTCTTGATCTATTCCTCTACCAGTCACTCGGGAAACTCAACATCTAGACCCGCTAGCTTGATTGTTCCCGCCATCTCGACCCTCCACGCCCCCAAATCATCGTGAGGTATGATAATGTGCTCATTCCTTGGGCACCTTGATAACAACAACTATTTCAACAAGGTTAGCACATACCCAAACCCACCCACTTCAAGAAAATCCAATAAAGCTACTTGTAATCAGTACTCACCTCTCTCAGCCACGGGCTCCACCTGTCCCACAACACTTCTCGGTATAAACTGCGCAAGATCCAGCACGCCAACCCTGTTAATCAAACCAAGCTGGAGCAGATCCAGCTTGAGCCCGGCCAGGTCAAAGCCGTTGAACAGACCGAGCCGCTGAAATTGGAGAAGGGTCTGCAACTGCTGCAACTGGAGCAGGCGCTGGACATCGAACGATGGGGCTTGAAAGAGATCTCTGAACCCGAGGATGTTGAAGTTGTGGATGGAGCCGAGAACAGAGAGGAGTTGGAGATCCAGGGCGTTGATGTTGAGGAGGTAGTTGAGGTTGACTTGGTTGAAGTTGGTGAGGTTGTTTAGAGGGGCGAGGTCGAAGATGGCACGCTCCGTGATGGTGGACTGCGTATCTCGGACAGGAACGGCGGCGACGAAGGGGATGAACAAGGTAATGAATAAGTTGATGGGCTTCATTTTGGCCGATGCAGATCGCTTATAATACGAGGATGCGATATCTCATCAATGAAGGATGGTGGAGGAAGCAAAGCTGGATGGAGATGTGTCAGTGTCCTTCGGTTCCCATGCTCTTTATACGATCATGGGTCCTTTGAACATACTCGAACCTCTCGAGGCTAAAAAGGATTGAAATATCAGACTGAGCACAGCTATACACGCTGTTAGTATGGGGATCGAAAAACATCAACTTGACAACTGGAAATACTACCTCTGAAATGAATGACTGAAGATGTGAACCTGAGTGTACACCACAGGAACTTAGAGAACAATGAACAGAAATATATACCACTGAGACATCATCACCGCTACTTTCTATCACCAGGCAAACTGCGGAACAAATAGATGTTCGAGAACTAGCATGATCAGCAGCTAGTTCCGTGCTTTGGCTTTCGAGAACTAATGCCGATTTCGGAAAACGGAACAGACTGTGATCCGGAGCCTGATACGTAGGAAACAGAAGGCACTTTCGCGATTCCTGAGCTAACGCCCGGAGACAGGGAAAACATGGGACGGAAAGACACATCAGATCTGTCGAAGTGTCCAATGCCTTATGCACTGGACTCATACCAGCTGCAAAGTGCCGTACCTTGAAGAACCAACGACCGAAGAGCCCAGCTTGTCAGGGGTTTCGTTGAAGGTCAGACGTAGCTTGAGTTCGTGAAAAACGCACACCTTCATTGGATACAACGTGAATCGTTCATTTCAGACACTGGGCTTGAATTGTAGGATGGAGATGTGGGTCATCACGATACCTTAACTCCAAACACTAATATTTGGAACAGTTGAGGTGTTTTGCAAGTCCATTGAGCAATGGGCTGTGAAGGCCAACCCGTGGATTTTCCATTTCTTGTGGATTGGATTATGCTAGAGAAAGGATGAAGTCAATGTCTGGGGAGGATCGTGACGGGAGCCGCATATCCACCGTCTGAGATCCACCCCCGCGTTAACGTGGGATCTGGGGCGCATGAACGGGCCCCATCCGCTCCGAACCCCTGATCGTGCCGCCAAACTGTTACAGGGCCCGGGTCGAGTTGTTCCTTGATGGGGACATACTCTGTGGCCCAAAGTGTCTCTTTGTAATCCCATTCCACACTATGGCTCTCTTGGCCAATCTAGTAGTGCCCTGAGCCTACAAGAATATGCACGGGGGTGTGCGGCTCGGGAGCCCTCTCGCATCTGAGCTGCTATGATGCGTATCCCCAGACGAGAGGAAGCCATTCCACGGCTGCGTGTCACCATCTGGACTTTTGGCCGGTGCGAACTTCCAGTTTTAATCCGTTGAGGGGAGCCTGGGCGAAGTAACTGCAACCACCAAGGCGCAGAGGACTAAGGCACCGTTTCCTGGGCAAAGCTGACAGACCAATGGTGGAACAGACGTCGTTGACAGCATCTCAAGAAGCAGGTATGTAGCCAAGCAAGGGCAGGTTACCTTTGCAGTTCTATAAGTCCTTTTTGTCAACACCCGGTCAGGACGCCATGGCTGAACACCAATACCTGCCGCTCATATTCTTCGGAGCTCGGGCATGCTGTAAACGGCAATGATAGCAAGCATGTTAACGAGTCCCGTATGGGTAGAGGATTATTCGAACCAAACAGGGTGCCGATCGGTCGGACTATGCTTTCCTCGCAAAGGCGTACCCGAGCCGTTGGTCGCTGAAGATGAAGGTTTGCGTGTGATCGACCAACAAGACATCCGCCTCTTTGATCACTCACTGTGAGCAATGTGGTCAGGGATATTTGATAGCCCATAGATCGAGGAAAGGCAAACACCACCATGACCCAGTTCGAGATGTGGCCCACATCCGTGGATTGAGCAGCTCGTATGTACAATAATGATGACGTACGTCGTCTAGTTACAGAGCGTATAGTATGGGGTCATTGCGATGCCCATTTCCTCGGAGATCCAATAGAGTGTTCGGAGCTATCATCACCTGTCGGACGGGGACGAAGGGTTGTTGTTATTATCGTCTTTGTGGAAGCCGAGCATGCTGCCGAGCACACCCCCGGGCTTGGGCACTGGGCACTCTCTCTTCAGAGCTTGTGCCCGGTCTGCATTGACAGATCCAGGCTCTGTCTCAAACTGCAGGATTTCGTCTTTGCCTTCGGTGTTTTCACGCGTCTGCGTCTGCGTCTTCTTGGGCTGTCCGTCGGCAGACATATCTCCATCGGCGAAGGCAACCCGGGGGGCTGGACACGGCAGGATGTGAGGAACGCCGACGACAAGGAAGCTGGCCACGACAGTTGCTGCGAAGAGGGAGGAAGTCATACGCGACCTCGGGTGGAGGTGAGGCGGCGGCATAATGGGTGGTTTTCGGATTGGTAGGGCGAGCGGGAGAGCTAACGAGAGAGGTCCAAAGGTAGGGGGGTACAAGTTTAGGGCAGCTTGCGCCAATTTTTATCAGCCATTGAGGTTCGCATCTTGGGCTCTGGGCCAACGGGACTCACTCGTAGCTTTTGCAGCACTTATAGGACCATCATGCGTTGGGAACGAACGAACTGGGCCCTTTGATATTACGAGATTGGGTGTTGAGGTCAACCTCAACGCGTAATGCAGATGTCAGGGTAAGGTACCACGCAGGTGGGCGGGTTCCTTGTCAAGGTCGTTGTTGGGCGGGCTGGACCGTGGACCGTGGACCGTGGACCGTGAACAGGACCTGTCGTCGAGCTTCGGGAAGATGGAGCTTCGATTGCAGTTCGGCCTCGAAATTATTTCGTCAGTGGACCCCTCGCCAGCTCCAGCTCTCAGCCTTCAGTATGGCAGCTTCCCGAGCTGTTCCGCGCTGGAATTGAAAGTGCATCTTGTCAGAGTTGTGGGTGAATTTATGGCTAAGTCATTTCTAGGTTAGCCTCCAACCACCTGATTTCTGGCACTGGTGACCCCCTTCTGGGCATCTCCAGCACTCCCCAACCTTCTGGTACGGCAATACATATATCACTCAATCAATCAATTCTGCACAGTTAATCTAACCATTAACAGTCTGATTTACGTATTTACAATAGCGCAATAATGTAAATTCAATTAATAGTTAAATAACTACCACTAGTACTCTTTTACAATATTATTTTTGAAAGAAAGTATTGATAAGACAATCTCCGTTGTTTTAAAGTCCTCCAAAGATTGGCTCAACTAGTTGTTACGAGCTGATAATGACAGGCACGGGCCAACTAAGCCACCGGTATACAACAGCCACGCGTAAGCTAGGCAGTGTAATCAGAGGTAGAAAAAGAGCTCTGGGCAGGCAAGGGCTTTGGGAAGTCGAGCCAGACTCACAAATCGAGCCAGCTTGTAAACTACACGCTATGGGGTTCACGTCTATGTGGACATCCGGAAACAGATATCTCGCAGAGGGCGAGCAGGTATAAAAGGACTACGGGAGAACTCAGATTGTCAGATAGTTCGACAGTAGTTAATAGATCATTATCACTGAGACCAGTATTACGAGCATACTTGTTGTGAACCTTTTTGGCTTCACCGAACAGCACTGATAGTTACTATCTTTAGCTATCTCATTTAGGCAGATTAGACTGCCGTTCGTCACACTAGTGTAGAACCTTTAAATATTAAATTAATAACAATACTTAATTGGGTAATTGGCTTTGAAGAGAGGCTTTATAATTTACTAAGTCTTACCGCCTAAGTAAAAGAATTATTTTATAATGAAGTAGATAAAAGATTATATATTTGTCATTGAAAAGAACTTCATTTGCTTTAATTAGGATATTGAAATTTTTAAACTATTTAATGATAATTTTATAAACTTAATTAATTTAATAAATACAAATAATATTAACAGCACTAATATTAGCAATTAATTTAAAAACGTTGTAATTAATAACGAGGAGAAAGAACCTTTTGAAAAAGAGTTGGAGGGGGATAATACTTACCTGATTAAATAAAATATTAAAAGAGAAATAGTCGCTAAAATCGATACCAATTTTATTATTGCTGGAAAAGTAGCGTTTAATTAAATTAACACAACTTACCTAATGCGCTACAAATATAGAAAAAATTTCCATAATATTAATATAGTACTAAGTAAATAAATAAGTATTTATGCTATCATTTACTATATTAGTATTAATTTCAAATAGCATGAAATTGTCATGAGGCTGGCGCCTAGGGGTGTTTGCCTAGCTTGAACTCTATATAAGCCAGGCCTGCCCTCCGACTGGGTGCACTCCTGGGGTACGCCGCACGAACCACATATTCGACCTTGGCGTTCTAGCACCTTCAATATCCGCACCTCTTTTGTGTATTTAGCTGTAAGCTCCATGCCATACTGGCACAGACTTCCTTTTTCCTCTTTGTCGAATATTATCACTTTCACCAAGGCCTACCTGCGTGTATACCTCGTAGAGCCTTTACAGAAATTATAAGAAACTAAATACAAGAGTTGAAAAATCAGATTAATTACAACCTTATTAATTATATAATAAAGATTTAGCGGAACTACTAGACTTTCATTGTTGAAATTTATAAAAAGGCCTTTAAGGATTTCAAAAAGTAGTTGTCCGATGTCACATGGACATTAACATCCTGGTCCAGTTTCAGGGTAAGCGAGCCAACTCCAGAACTGCTGACGGCGCTAAACATCATCACAAAGCCATCACAGTTACCACAGGAGTAATCACGCCTAACCAAGCAGAAGCAGGGCGCCCGGGCAAATGCCAGCGCCAGGAGGAAGAAGGAGAATGGATGAAGGCATTCAGAAAAGACCCACATGTATACAAATCGCTAGATAGAGGCCTTGAAGCCTCAAGCGACAAGGACCGGTACGTACCCAGTACGTACTATTTCCCTTTGGCATAAGAAGGCCTTGAAGTCCAGCCTTCTCCTGGAGGTTGAGAGAATCAACAAGGCCTTCGAGACCAAAGTAGTTTATCAGCGGAATTGAACTACTGTTCCAAGCTTAGAACACTGCTCTTATCACATCCGATTAAGAAATTATTATAGCAATTGGAATATACTTCGGCATTAAGAATTACGTAATTCCCATATTGTAACTTACCTGTTTCGTTAATATAGCTCACTTATATAAGCTTATTTAAGTAGTAAATTCTATTAAATTCAATTATGAATTTGAAGATGGGTTTTTGGGATATAAAAATTCATCCGCGGACTTCAAAAAAGTTAGTATATTTAAATATATTATTATACAAGCTTTTAAAAACGTAGTTGTATAAGGTACTTAGGCTGTTAATACTTCTGGTTTGAAAGAATTTATATTTAATTACGAGAATACTTTTAACTTTAATTATAAAAGAAAGAGAAAAGTGTGACGGCTGGCACCATCTGAGCTGTCACATGCCTGCCATCAAAGCTCTCATTTATATAGGTGCTGTTTAATTGGGTCATTCCTATTCACGGGTTTAGCTGTCACCAGTTGTCGCTTGTAGTCTAGGTATAAAATCCAGCTCTGGCATTGAGCCTTCTCTTTTGAGATATCTTCCCTCTTCAGCTTGTAAGGGTTCTACGAGGTATACACACAGGTAGGCCTTGGTGAAAGTGATAATATTCGACAAAGAGGAAAAGGGAAGTCTGTGCCAGTATGGCATGGAGCTTACAGCTAAATACACAAGAGAGGTGCGTATATCGAAGGTGCTAGAAACGCCAAGGTCGAAAATGTGGTTCGTGCGGCATACCCCAGGAGTGCACCCAGTCAGAGGGCAGGCCTGGCTTTCATAGAGTTCAAGCCAGGCAAACACCCCTAGGCGCCAGCCCCATGACAAGCTTCTTATTCTTAGTTCAAGTTAATCAAATTGTACACAACGTGCTCTCTGGCTACGCCGTAACATGCGGGATTAATATTAAAAAGACTTTATAGTTATAAAAGAAATTCGAGTTTTCTTTATATAAAGTATATAAATAAAGCTTATACTTAATAACGCGCTATCAATATTTAATGTCCGAAATACGAAACGACCTTAAATACCATTTATCAATTACAACTTAAAAATTAGTAGAAGAGAATTTTGAAAAACGTTAGAAACTAGTAAAGAAGTTGAAGAGATTAGGAATAAAATAAGGAACTGGTTTATTACTCTTATATACGAAAGTAAAAAAAAATTTTTAAAAAAATAAAGGCGATAAGAAATTGGTAGTTGCAATATAATTTTTTTTGTTAATTATAATACCATAAACACGGAAGAAAAAAAGAACACTTATCCTTTAAAGAATTTGACACTTTTCAATTTTGGCGCGTTCTTTTATATTTCAATAGAATTATTCCTTTTTCATTATTGTAAACGGCTCTATTAAAAGACAATATTTAGATAAGCAATATTTAAATAATTATTGAGGATTTTGGAATCATTGATATTTAGGTATAATGAGTATATAGTATTATAGAACTACGGTTAAAGAAAGTAGCGTTCTGCTTTAATTTCATTATAAATTTGGTATTATTTCGACTACTTTGAAAATAAGGCTCTTTTTTAGGATTATGAGCTATTCAATAATTCCTTTTAACAATTATATAGGTTAGCGTTTTTATTTAATTTAAAATATCTACTATTAAATGGTCTTTAAGTGTTTACTGCTTTTCTTCAACCGCGCTACTTCTTCCAGTTAACAAGACTATTTTTAGTTCCGCTTGCTACAGTCGTGGGTGTAATTATAATTACTACTATAGTTACTATAGGGATTAATTAATAAGAGCCTAAGTATTATAAATTTATCTTATACTTTGATTCTAGAATTAGGCTTATATTAGGCTATCTTTTTAAATTATATTTATACTCTCTATCTTATTTATTAGTATAATTACGTACAATTATATTTACTATTTTTCCTTTACTTAAAATAGTTAATGATGGTTCTTAATTATCCTATTTATAATATAAACTTTCCTTTTTATTAAATAATTAATTTTATGAATTGCGTACGTGTATAAAGATTGCCCTATTCAACGAATAGTTAAACTTAATACTTGAATATTGATAGTTAATATTAGAATTGTTTAAAATTGCTTTCTTTTATTTAATAAGTAAAATTATGCCCCTTTTATTTAATGAATAAAGTTTATTTTATGTAATATCTTTTTTTATTTTTTTCATTCTTTGCTGCAATACCTTAATATGACAAGCTAGGATGCATATGCTCAGACGGCCAA